TTTATCATTTTTTATTGCATCTATTTGGTTGTTCTCTCTTTTCTTTTTAATCAATCTGGCTAGTGGTCTGTCTATTTTTTTGATCTTTTCAAAAAACCAGCTCTTGGATTTATTGATTTTTTGAAGGGTTTTTCATGTCTCAATCTCCTTCATTTCAGCTCTGATCTTAGTTATTTCTTGTCTTCTGCTGGGTTTTGAGTTTTTTTTTGATCTTGCTCCTCTAGTTCTTTCAATTTTGATGATAGGGTGTCAAATTTGGATCTCTCCACTCTTCTCATGTGGGCACTTATTGCTATATACTTTCCTCTAGAGACTGCTTTTAAATGTATCCCAGAGATTCTGGCATGTTGTGTCTTCGTTCTCATTGGTTTCGAAGAACTTCTTTATTTCTGTCTTCATTTCATTGTTGACCCAGTCAACATTCAAGAGCCAGTTGTTCAGTTTCCATGAAGCTGTGCGGTTCTGGGTTGGTTTCTGAATTCTGAGTTCTAACTTGATTGCACTATGGTCTGAGAGGCTGTTTGTTATGATTTCAGTTGTTTTGCATTTGCTGAGCAGTGCTTTACTTCCAATTATGTGGTCAATTTTAGAGTAGGTGTGATGTGGTGCTGAGAAGAATGTATATTCTGTGGGTTTGGGGTGGAGAGTTCTGTGAATGTCTATCAGGTTTGCTTGCTCCAGGTCTGAGTTCAAGCCCTGGATATCCTTGTTGATTTTCTGTCTGGTTGATCTGTCTAATATTGACAGTGGAGTGTTAATGTCTCCCACTATTATTGTGTCAGAGTCTAAGTCTCTTTGTAAGTCATGAAGAACTTGCCTTATGTATCTGGGTGCTCCTGCATTGGGTCCATATATGTTTAGGATCGTTAGCTCTTCTTGTTGTATCGATCCTTTTACCATTATGTAATGGCCTTCTTTGTCTCTTTTGATCTTTGTTGCTTTAAAGTCTATTTTATCGGAGATGAGAATTGCAACTCCTGCTTTCTTTTGCTCTCCATTTGCTTGGTAAATCTTCCTCCATCCCTTTATTTTGAGCCTTTGTGTATCCCTGCATGTGAGATGGATGCTTTGTGAAGTTTTTGTATTGTGTTTTTCAGCTCCTTTAATTCATTCCTATTCCTCTCTAAGTTATCCATTCTTGTTATCATTTCCTCAAGTCGTTTTTCTTATCTTTTTTCAAGTTCCTTAGTTTCTTTGCATTGATTTAATACATGTTCTTTTAGCTCACAAAAGTTTCTCATTATCCACCTTCTGAGTTCTACTTCCGTCATTTCGTTACAGTCATTCTTTGTCCAGCTTTTTTCCCTTGCTGGTGAAAAGTTTTGGTCTTTCTAGGAGGCGAGGTGTTCTGGTTTCGGGTGTTTTCCTCCTTTTTGCACTGGTTTCTTCCCGTCTTTGTGGATTTATCCACCTGTCGTCTGAGTAGTTGCTGACTTTTCGATTGGGTCTCTGAGTGGATGCCCAGATTGTTGATGATGAAGTATTTCTGTTACTTGGTTTTCCTTCTACCAGCCTAGCCCCTTCGCTGTACGACTGCTGAGGTCCACTCCAGGCCCTGGTTGTCTGGGGTGCACCTATAGCAGCTGCGGAACAGTGACGGATGCTACCAGTTTCTTTTTCTGCTATCTTTGTGCCAGGATGATGCCTGCCAAATGTCAGTCTTTTGTATATAGAGGGGTCAGCGAGCTGCTTGAGGAGACAGTCTGTACTTTATAGGAGCTCAATTGCTGAGCTGTGAGCTCTGTTGTTCATTCAGGGCTGTTAGGCTGCTATGTTTGATTCTGCTGCAACTGAGCTCATTTAAAAAACCCTTTTTTTCTCAAATCCTCTGTCTTGGGGGGTTCAGGCTTTATTTTTGGATGTCCGTTGAGGTGTCCTGCCCAGCTAGGAGGCAGTCTAGTCACTGGGTGCCTGCCGAGGCTCCGCCCTGCTGTTGTGTGGTTCGCCCTGTTGCTGCAGACTCTGTTCTGCAATTTAGTGAAGTTTTAAGAGTAACTGGATCTTGCCTAATATTTTAATTTTATTTAATCACAGTGATTTGTTAGACAATTAGGCTGAACAAGGACAATGGAGAGCTGCAGTAAAGTATGGCTTTGAATTAAACTACAATAAATAGATAAATAAAGAAGTAAAAAGCTTTTATCATGTTAATAGATGTTTTCATTGGTACAAATTGATACATTATTTAAAGAAAACATATTTTCACAGTTGTTATGTGTCTTCTAAAAAACATTACAAAATATCTTACCAATATGGTTTTTCTCTTAGGGTATTGGTAACTCTAATTATTGTCCATTCTATGTTCAAAATTTTGAAACAGTAATTGACATGATATATGATAAGAAGCATTTCTGACCAAAGAGGGTGTGCTAGCTGGCTTCAAAGACACTTCACCTTAGAGAGTATAATTATTTTGCTTTTCAAAATGCTGTATCATGTCACAACAACAAGGGCCAATGGGAATTTGGAGATACATTTATTATAATTAAATTAACTGATTGTATTTAGTAGTCATTCATAATAAAAGAATACTAGGTCTTTTCAGTTACTGGAGTGCTCACATTCCCATGGAGTGACTTTCCTGGTGTAAATGAATTTGGAAAAATAATTAATAATGATGACATTGTGTGGTACATTGTAATAAGATAATATATAGGTAGATGGACACCAAATGATATTTCATTTAGAACATGAGGAAGTTGACATGATATCTAGGATTCATTATAAAGGATTTATGGATATCTTTGTCTTTTTTCTATGCTCATTAATTATGTATTCTTTTTTCAGTTAATAACCACCTCTTATAAAAGCAAGGCATTTCTACACAATAATTCCAGATATGTCTATAGTTGATCAAATTCACCTATAGAGGACAGGCTTCATTTACATATTTTCAAGTTCTTACAGAATATCTCATGTTCTTTCTAACGAGTGGATATCTATATAACTGGTTTTGAATGTTGGTCTAACACTTACTAGACACATAATCACAGATATTTGTTTTTACATCATTATAACAGCTTTGATATTTTCATCACTGTGTGGAAATGAAGTTAAATAAAGCTGTATTTAAAGTAACTAAGCTCAATACATATCAGGGTTTTTGTCCAAATTTAGGAGATATATATATATATATATATATACACATACATATATATGTATTATATCTAATTCAGGATGTATGTATACATGTAGAGAATGTATACATACATATTTTTATACATATTCACACATATATGTATACAAATATATTTTTGTATACACATATTTTTGTATATACACATATATACATTCCTTTGTGTATATATATATATATATATATATATATATAATCTATTACTTGTGTATATATATGTGTACATATATACAAAGGAATAGATTTTCTTTCTATAATATATGTGTGTATATGTATACATACATATATGTCCTAAATTATATATGTATTCTACACAGGATAAATGATGACTCATGGTTAATAGTCATTAAAACAAAGGCCAGATCTGAAATTACAATCCATGATATTAATCATTTTATTTGAAACAAAATAAATTTTCCATGCCAGAAAATTTTTCTTTTACTAGATTTTTTACCTGCTATGTTTGTCTGCCATCCTGTAAAGTTTTTCTAAGAATAACAAGTTGCTTTTTCAGAAAAGGAATAGATTATATCTTTCCATAATTCAGTACTTTCCATAATTCATTTTCCTTTGTGGAAGTCTGATCAAAAGTCCTGTTTATGTTAATAGTTAATTCCCTCTCTATATAACTTTTAAACGTGAGAGCTTAGTAACGGGTAGAAATTGAGTTATTTAATTATCATGGTCTTAGGCAAGTTATTACTATGTTTCACCATTTCTGCATTTGTATAATGATTCAGGAAATTAAGCTGTGATGATTATCATTGCATAAAAACAGATTCTCCACACACACATTTATACACATATGTATACATAAAAGTCACAAATACCTTATCAAGTATTGCTCATTGAGATGTAGAAACAGTATGTCTTCTTTAAAGGCCCAAAAAAATTCAGTAAGGAATTTTTATATATCTTTTTCTATTTTTTTAGATGGAGTTTTGCTCTATCACTTATCCTGGGGTGCAGTGACACCATCTTGGCTCACCGCAACTTCCACCTCCCAGGTTCAGGCGATTCTCATGCCTCAGCCTCCTGAGTAGCTGGGATTACAGGTGTGTACCACCATGCCCTGCTAATTTTGATATTTTTAGTAGAGAAAAGATTTCACCATGTTGACAAGGCTGGTTTCTAACTCCTGACCTCAAGTGATCTGCCTACCTTGGCCTCCCAAGGTGCTGGGATTACAGGCATGAGCCACTGCTCCTGGCCACATATTTCTATTGTAATTACTCTCCATAAAGAAAATGGCTGAAGACCAAAATGCCATTATATCACTAGGTAAAATAAGACAGTCCTAATCATCTAGTCTTATTTTAATTGAAAATTTCCTTGGCCTATCAATTTACCTCATGTACTTTAATAAGGCAAAAATTAAAGGTACAGAAAGATATGTGCATATAATTATTCATTGCATCCTTGTTTATAATATTAAAAATTGAGAAACAGCCACTATTTTCCATAGGAGCTTGTTAAAATAAGCTATGGTACATCCCTCATTTAATGTTGTAGTTATCAAAAATGCTTGAGAAAAAATGACATGTTTGCAAATAAAAATACCCAGATACACACAACCACATATTTACATATGACATGTTGGCCTACATAGTTACTAAGAGGATCAGAATTGACATACAACCATAATTCCTTTTAGCAATTAATTCATATTATATAATCTAATGTTTAAGAGTTTCTTAATAATTAAAGGTATTTTAATCTAAATGATTGAATTGCATATCTTTCACTTTATTATAATGTTTACAATTTATCTTGAATGCATTTAGTTTTTTCTATTGACTACTTGCAAGCATTTTATTATCAGAACACACATGAAATATAAAGTAAATATCTAAACACTGGACCCACCTGATTGAATTCCCTTGCTTTTCTCCTTGATCAAACCAGGTCCAAAGGTTTTTTTCTAAACTGAAACAAAGAAAAACAACAACAACAATGTAAAACTACTTTCTTAATGGAATGGTATATAATATTTTTAAGATATCTGTATACAAGATAGTACAATGACAAAGTCACAAGTCACAATAATGAAGTGAGGGGACAAAATAAAGCAGGATAAGTACTTGGTATCTAGTCTTATATGGATATTTAGAATATATAATGTCAAATATAAAACAACAACTTCAGAAAACATCTCCATTGTGCTTCTACACTTATCAGCAATAACATTCAGATGTCCATGTCTTAGTTGTAGCCTTGTTAATCTTACATTTAAGCAAGGAAGATAGATAACTAAAACAGTGATAAGAATAGAGTGATGGGTGTGTACAGTGTGCCATGGGACAACAGCATAGTTATACAGTCTAATCCTTAAGAAAACATTAGTGAAACAAAATAAATTGCTAACTAATAGGAACAATTTTTAAATACAAGGAAGATAGATCCAAGAATATTAAAATGATACAATAAAACATTTTTAATGCAAACCATCAATAAAACCAGTAAAAAGGAAAACTTAACAGATGCATTAAGAGTTTCCAATGTCATTTAACATGCATATCTTGTAAAAGCATTAGAAAGCCAGTAACACGGACATATTTTCTCAACATATGAGGAAGAGAAGATGTCAGGGCAAGTACCATTTTAGTTCACAAAGAGACTACTTCAGGAAAAAAGCATACTATATATATGTAATTTCTAATATATATAATTTAGCTCAGAATCCTCAGAAAAGGTAAGATATAGAAATAGGATATAAAAAAGAGGGAATGTTCATTGAGAGAAAATGATGTATATTTAATTACCTCGTTAATTAATATTGTAATAATATAAAACAGAAAATATTATTTTAAAGGTGGAAACACATAATTAAGTAACATTTTACTAATAGAAAATAGTGTAGATTTTTTTTCTGGACTTTGATGAAGAGGGAGATTTGGAGATGAGATGGAAGCATTTTGACAGAGGTCATAACTGTCAAAGTCAAATCGGGTAGACAGTTTGGTTAGAGAAGAAGATTAATTTAACTATGTCAGTGAATATATGTTAGGCTGCAGAAAAAATGGGACTGGAAACATAAGGTGGGTGAATTTGAGTAGAAAGTTGAAAGTCAGACAGAGTTTAAGCCTATTTTGTAGACAATAATATCATAGTACCATAATATGTAATGTTGAAAGGGATTTCAGATATTTATTACAGTTTGGGAATTTTTTATTGAGAAAACTGATGCTCTTAAAACATTAAATAGCTTAATTGTAATGATAGTACCGAGACCTGACTTCAAATCATATTCTCCTCAACAAGAAACAGTGTTGAGGAGAGTGGGTCAAACAGTGAGTTCCTGCAATAATAATTCATTTTAGAAACAGTAATCTCTGAATTATATTGAGGAAATATTTACATAATTGAATGGAAGTAAGAACATTAAATAAAGATTAAAGAGCACTTATGAAGAAACGTGTAAACATAGAAAATGAAAATATCATTTAGAAATGAGAGTGAGGTGTGAGTTCTTAATTTTCAAAGGAAGATGTGACACAATTTAGTGAACATAAAATTAAAAAATGAAGAATAAGCCATCAGTTCTATATTTCTGACCTAGAAGACTCTGGGGCAACTAGGCATTATTCAAAGCTAAACTGTTAAAAAAAAATGCCATATTTAGAGAAAACAAATCTATAGACTAGTTATTATGAGGGAATAAATTTGCAAATTTAAGTTAACACTTCAGAGATATATGTGGAATCCAAATAATTTAATTTTGCACTATTTCTGTAAACATTATTTTTTTTTGTCTAAATAGGAATTTATTTTCCCCAAAATTTTGAAACATGAACATAAAACAAAGCGAATCATGAGCTCCTAGGAATATATTTTGGAGCATTCAGTTTGTTTATTTGTTCCCAGTAATTAGAAACCTTCCAAGGAAAAAACGTGAAATAGCAATTACTATTTTTTTTTTTTTTTTTTTTTTTAAAACGGAGTTTCGCTCTTGTTACCCAGGCTGGAGTGCAATGGCGCGATCTCGGCTCACCGCAACCTCCGCCTTCTGGGTTCAGGCAATTCTCCTGCCTCAGCCTCCCGAGTAGTTGGGACTACAGGTGCGCACCACCATGCCCAGCTACTTTTTGTATGTTTAGTTGAGACAGTGTTTCACCTTGTTGACCAGGATGGTCTCGATCTCTTGACCTCGTGTTCCACCTACCTCAGCCTCCCAAAGTGCTGGGATGACAGGTGTGAGCCACCGCTTTCGGCAATTACTATTAATGCCTTCAGGCCTTCACTCCAAAATCTAGACCAAAGACCAAACAAATTAGGAGTTTTTCAGAATATATAAAATTCTCTTTCTTATATTGCTTTCTCCCCTACTTCTCTCCTCTCTCCTTTCCCTCCTTCATTTTCTCCTCCCTTGTACATGCACACTGATAGCAGAAGTTTGGTATACAAAGTAAATGTATTAGGCTGGAAATAAATGTTTGGTTGCCATGCCACAGTTAAGTAATTTACAAAATATAACTTACTGAATTCAAATTTGCAGTGTAACCAGGTTTTTGACCTTTATTTTCCTCTTTATCAGCTCTTAATTAATTCTTGTTCTTCTAAATGCCCACAACATAAACTTATCTATTTTCTTTTATCTACCTTGAATTTTGGGGGAAATCATGTGCTCTTATTCTGGCTTCTTGAGGTCTTGCCTTTAAGTTCAAGATAAACTTCATGCAAAATAACCTTTGACATTGCATGATGCCTCTCACACTTCTCAATTGTCACAGGTTTCTCCTTTTTCTGGCTATTTCATACCCATTATCATTTCCTTTACAACTGTTTTTTCTTCTTTCTGAGGTAAAGATTGATTTAATTAGAGTAATTGTTGTAACTTCTTTAATAGCAGAGTATGTTATATATACGTGTACATCTATAGAAAGTACAGGTACTCATAGCAAGATGTATATAATTTAAAAGTTATAAAATAAAAATAGAAGAAATGAAGCAAAAAACCACAAAGAATAATCTACCTATTATTTCACCAATCTTTAAGTAAAATATACTCAAAAAATTTTCAAGTCATTAAAAAATATGTGGAATATGTCATTATATTCTGCAAAATGACCAGGGCCTATCCATGTTTGTTTAACTTTGCATTTACTTCCCTATTTTATTCACTTTGAAATCCTCTATTAATTTTTTTACTCAAAAAAATTTTTGAGTAAAAAATTTATTCATATAAAGCCATCATTCAAAAAATATGGTGCAAAATAGAATGTGTGGTAGTTTTTACAAGAACTATAAAAGTATCCAAAAATGAATTATAAATTACATCACAAAAGCATAAGAATAATTTTAAGGTAAGTGAAATAAGACCCACTTCTCTATCAGAAAACTATAGAAAAGCAATATTTTGACATGCAAAATAATTACTTTTGTTTTGGAGGTAAAATATACTTGTTATCAAGTATAAATCAATCCATAAAAAACTAATATTTCTTCTAGAATGGCCATAAAATTTTAATTTTTATTACTTTATTTGAGGGAATAAGTTTTTAATAAGTAATGTTCAAAATAAACATTAAATCTTATTGAAAATCATATACAAAAATTACCTCAAAATGGATCATAAACTGAAATGTAAAGCCCAAAATTATACAGAAAATATAGGAGAAATTTATAGGAGAAATATCTTTGTTACTTTTGAGTAGGCAAAGATTTCTTAGAACACAAAAAGCATAAACTATATTTTAAGAAAACTAATAAACAACTTCAATTTTAAACAATTACTTTTAATCAGTATATGGCAGTGTATATCTTATCTAAATTATTAGTAAAATTGAACAATATGAGCCAAAGCAAAAAAAAAAAAAAAAGAACTCCTCTTTTATTTGATAATATTGCTCATTTATCCATTTGTTTTTGGATTATAAAGTTCAAGTAATACTTTTAAAAGATGCATACATAAAAACACTAGAAGTAAACCTAGGCAATACCATTTGGGACATTGACATAGGCAAGGACTTCATGACTAAAACACCAAAAGCAATGGCAATAAAAGCCAAAATAGACAAATGGGATTTAATTAAACTCAAGAGATTCTGTGCAGCAAAATAAACTTTCATTAGAGTGAACTGGCAACCAACAGAATGGGAAAAAATTTTTGCAGTCTACCCATCTGACAAAGGGCTAATATCCAGAATCTACCAAGAACTTAAACAAACAAGAAAAAAACAACCCATCAAAAAGTACGCAAAAGATACAAACGGACACTTTTCAAAAGAAGATATTTATGTTACCAACAAACATAAGAAAAAAAGCTCCTCATAACTGGTCATTAGAGAAATACAAATCAAAATCACATGGAGATACCATCTCACACCAGTTAGAATGGCGATCATTAAAAAACCTGGAGACAACAGATGCTGAGGAGGATGTGGAGAAATAGGAACACTTTTACACTGTTGGTGGGAGTGTAAATTAGTTCGACCATTGTGGAAGACAGTGGGGCAATTCCTCAAGGATCCAGACATAGAAATTCCATTTGACCCAGCAATCCTATTACTGGGTATATATCCAAAGGATTATAAATCATTCTATTATAAAGGCACATGCACAAGTATGTACATTGCAGCACTGTTTACAATAGCAAAGACTTGAAACCAACCCAAATGCCCATCAAAGACAGACTGGATAAAAAAAATATGGCACATATACACCATGGAATACCATGCATCCATAAAAAATGATGACTTCGTGTCCTTTGCAGGGACATGGATGAATCTGGAAACCATTCTTCTTAGCAAATTGACACAAGAACAGAAAACCAAACACTGTATGTTCTCACTCATAAACGGGTGTTGAACAATGAGAACACATGGACACAGAGAGGGGAGCATCATCACACATTGGGACCTGTTGGGGGATAGGAAGGCTAGAGGAGGGACAGCAGGCAGTTTGGGGTTGGGGAGGGATAACATTAAGAGAAATACCTAATGTGTATGGTTGGGGATGGAGGCAGCAAACCACCATGGCATGTGTATACGTATGTAACAATTCTGCAAAAGCTGTCCATGTACCCCAGAACTTAAAGTACAATAAATTTAAAAAGATGCATACTTCTGTATCATTTATAACTTTGCTTTTAGTCTCTCACCCAAAGATAAAATAAAACATTGGTGGAGAGATTTTGCTACAATATAGAAAACTTAACTTTTTGTATATTAATCCTACTTGAAATAATATAATCTTATGTGTTATGGCAAAGATTGTGGAGGCACACCAAGGTTTTTATTACTGCTTCTCCTTATTCCAAGGTAGGACTGATGGCCCAGCCTATCCTGTCTAACAGGCTATGGACAGAGATGTCGTAAGTCTATTGTGTATCAAAACATTGAAGAGTTAGTGTGATGTCTTCACAGTGTCTTCCCTTGATACAGCAACTAGGAGGCTGAATGACCCAGCTGGTGCAGTTATTAGACATTAAAGTTTCCATCAGCCTGGATCCCTGAGTGACAGTATGGACAAAGAACACCTAGAAAGTGTTGCACGAATGAGAGTTAAATTTCTGTTTTGGAAATATTTGTTATCACTGCATATCCTAACCTAACAAATATGTACTTTTTATTACCACTTTCAATATACCAATGTAAGGAACTCTTATTTATTAATCCATGTTAAAATTTGTCTGATACATCAATTTTACTCACTCATAATATATCTTATCTGATTATTTACCTTTATTATTTTCAACTATTTAAATTTGTAACATCAACATATTTCTACTTTTCCTTTTCTGTCTTGCCATAGCTTAGAAAATAGATTTTAGTCATAAGAACATGGGCACCCAAAGTGCTTCTGAACCCAGAAGAGGGATACAGTTAAATGAGCCAGAGCTGTCACTATACTGAGACCCTTGGGGTTATGCTGGGCCAAATTCTAGGTAAGAATTGTAGCAAAGCAAATGAATGACTTGCAGTGTTAAAGAATAAGAAAGATATTAATGGTTACATGTGTATCATGGAAAGTGTTCTAATGTATAATGGTATAAAGAACATTTACATTTAGTACATTTGAATTTTTGTAATATGGTTGTTTCATTTTCATAACTATTAATTTCTGGTATTTTAAATAAAATGGTGAACAAAATTTCTAGAAAAATGATCAGAGAGACAAGCAACATTTGACAGATGAAGAGATGTGAATAGCCTCAAACCTGTGGACAAATGTTCAATTTATCAGAAATAAAATACATATATTAATAAAATAGTAATAAAACACAGATTTGGCTATCTTATTCACAAATACTAAAAAGAACTACAGAAAATAAAGGTGACATGATGTGAAGAAATTCACTAAAATGGTTTTTTGGAACGAAGAATGCTGCAAATTTTGTAGGAAAATATTGATAATTTATATTAAGATAAAGCAAATATTTTCAAGAAAATTCTAATTATAATGGAAATAAACTAGAGCAGCTACAAAGTTCAAAATAGGAGATCAATGGAATTTTATATACAATATAAATAAGTCCACTAATTGAATTTAAATGCATTTAAATACAAATAAATATGTTCATTTTTAACAAATATGTGTTTGTCTTCTACAATTATCCTATAATTGTGTCATGATGTTTCTAGTCACCAAGTACTCAGTGGTGAATAGAAAGACAAATCCCTATTCAAAGTATGACATAAAGGCCAGGTGCAGTGACTCACCCCTACAATCCCAGTACTTTGGGATGATGAGGTGGAAGCATGTCTTGAGACCAGGAGTTCAAGACTAGCCTGAGCAACATAAAGATAACCTTTTCTATAGAATAACAACAACAAAAACAGTAAAGTGTGGTGATAAGCACCTGTAGCTCCAACTACCTGGGAGAGTGAGGCAGGAGGATCCCTTGAGTCCAGGAGTTTGAGGCTGAAGTGATCAGGCCATTGCACTCTAGCCTGCGCAACAGAGAGAGAGACCCTCTCTCAAAAACAAACAAACAAACAAACAACAAACAAAAACAAAGCACAAAAGCACATCCTAAGTTCAAACAGTGATAAATGAGATTAATGAAGAATGGAAATCTGGATGATGTAATAGGGTAAGTTGGGATGAGGTGAAACAGCAAGGGGGCATTTAGAGTGGGCAGGGAGGTGAGGCCTTACTACCAAAGCATCATTTCACCTGAAAGCTAAAAGACAAGAAATAGGAAAGGCAAGCTAGATGAAAGGAAAAAGGAAAGGCAAGCTAGAAGAACAAACACAGAGACTCTAGGATAAAGATGAGTTTGCTGTTTGAAGAATAGAAAGATACCATAGGTTCGAGCCTGGTGGGTTAGGGGAAGAGTGCTGTGGAATAAATTTAAAACTACATGGCCAAGTCTTTTGGTACTTGGAGGCTAAGATAAGGGAAATGGATTTTATGTCAAGGCCTGGGGTTAAGAGGAAGAGGACTTTCACCAAGAGGAGTAATCTGGATTTGTTTACATTTTACAGATCATTCTGGTTTCTGTGTGGAAAACGGAGAGTTCAGGGAGCCAGAGATAAAACACTGTAACTTCTAAAGTGAATGTTGCAGTATTAAGGAAAGAAATAAAAGTGGTCTAAGCCAGGACAGTAGCTGTGAGACTCGAAAGAAATGAAGTAACTCAATAGCTGTATGATTATTGAAGTCTTACGTTTGGGAGTCTCTGAATAGAGCTACTAGATGGTTTTACTTGTTGCAATAGGGAAAACTAGAAGGAGAACAAATTAGTGGTCAATGGAAAGGGAAAAATTATGAGCTCATGTTTGTCATGTGAATCTAAGCTCATGTGAATCTAAGATGGGATTTTAAGCAAGCCTACTTACTGATATGTAAATTTGAATCTCAGTGGATGAGTCAGAGCCCTTTTTATAGAAGTGGTTTTATGAGTCAAAATAGTAGATGAGAGCATTAGGGAGACACTGTAGATAGAGATAACAGCAAATAAATCTTTCGGAAATCACTTCATTGAGTTTCCCTTTAAATCTATGCCACCTAATACTCAACATAATAGCAAGCACATTTTTCTCTCTTCAGAAAAATATGAAACTAGAACTGTATTATTTAAAAAGTTGCAGGAAGTTCTGCAGTGCCACATTTTATATAAAAACCATTCACCAACATTTCAGATTTTATTTTTTCATTATAAATTAACAAATTATAGTTGCATATATTTATACCGTACAAAGTGATGTTATGATTTATAAATATATGTAATAATTAAAACAAGCTAACATACCCGTCACCTCAAACATTTATGATTTTCTGATGAGAAAGGTTGAAATTTATTCTTAGTGATTTTAAAATGTACAATACAACATGATTAACTATATTCACCACACGCTGCAATAAATCTCAAAAAAAATCTTATTCCTCCTGTATAATTGAGGCTATGTGCTCTTTGACCATCATCTCCCCATTCTCTCATACCCCACCCCATTCTGCTCTCTCTGCTTCTATGAGTTCAAATGTTTCAATTTCCACATATAAGTGAGAACATGTGGTATTTCTGTTTCTGTGTCTGGTGTATATCACATAGCATAATTTTCTTCAATTCCATTCATTTTCTTAAAAAAGATGGAATGTACTTCTTTTGTAAAATAGTGTGCTATTGCACTGTGAATATATACCATTTTCCCTTTGTCCATTCATCTGTTGATGGACCCTTAGGTTGGTTCCATAATTTTGCTATTGTAAATATTGTTGTAATGAATGCTGGAGTGTAGACATCTCTTCAACATATTGATTTTAAATCTTTTGAGTAAATAACCAGAACCGAGACTGCTGAATCATATGGTAATTCTATTTTTGTTTCTTTGCAGGACCACCATACAGTTTTTCATAAATGACTGTACAAACTTATGTATCCACCAACAGTGTACAAGGGTTACCTTTTTTCCACATCCTCACCAACATTTGTTATGTTTCCTTTTTTGGTAATAGCCTTTCTGAAAGATATGATGTGTTATATCATTGTGATTTTAATCTGCATTTCATGAATTATTAGTGATGTTGAGCATTTTTCCTACATCTGGTGTCCATTTGTTGGTCTTCTTTTGAGAAATGTATATTCAGAAACTTTGACCATTTTTAAATTGGATTATCTTTTCTATAGAATTGTTTGAATTCCTAATATATTTTGCATATTAATCTCTAACAGATGTTTGGCTTGCAAACATTGTCTCCCATACTGTTGGTTGTCTTTTCACTCTGCTGTTTCCTTTGTTATGCAGAAGCTTTTTATTTAGATATAATCCCATTTTGTTATTTTTGCTTTTGTTGCCTGTGCTCTTGGTGTCAAATCTAAAACAAATCATTGTCCAGACCAATGTTGTGTAGTTTTTTCCCTGCATTTTCTTCTAGTATTGCTCTTTTTGCTTTCTACTAGGATAGGAGACATCTAATATAATTTTTTCCATGTTTGTTTCAAGGACTATGCCGCATAAAGCTAATTTGAATTTCCCAAGATTCAAGTGACTAAATCAACACTCCCTTTGTGAGAAAAAATTACTTTCTGTTTTTTATTTTATTTGAAAAATTGGATGGTAACACTCATTTGGATGCAAAGAGCATTTGCATTCTTATTGTCTAAAGTAATTCAATTAATGGTCATTCTTTACAATGTTCATGATTTTTCTTACTTTCCTTATCAGAATGCAGGCATGAAAAGCACATGCATCTTCTTGAGAAAAAAATATTGCTTTTATGAAGAAAGTATGAAACTAATTATAGAAGACTGAGGAGGGGTTGAGTTGCCTCAGACCTGGACTCATCTGTCTCACTAAGTGTGTCTTCCCACAGCTTACCTCCAGCTTATGCCTTTCCTGAAGATGCATGTTTTTATGTTTTCTGTATTCATGTTGAATCATTAATAAAATCATTTTGAATCTAATAAAATCTTCTAGAAAATACATTATATCTTTCAAACACTCATATAATCAGAACACCACCTAGGTGGAATAAGTATTAGCTGACACCCAAAGTTAAAAATGGCTTTGGTAATTAAGGTAGTACTATGTTCCTGCTGTCACTTCCTATATATATATATATTTAAATCAACATCATTTCTTAGTCCCATTGTCTTTTATACCTGAGGTTTCCAGAAAAAGAGAAAACAAAATAGCTTCATTGTAGAGACTGACCTGGGAGCATGCACGTGACTTTATCTTTTTTTTTTTTTTGCTATTATTATATTTAAACATGGTTTATTTCCTAAAATGGAGAAAAATAAAATGAAATTAAAGCAAGAGTAACAGGAATACAAACACTGAATTGCAATTATGTCTTTCTATGCAATATGACCAGAAAATTTAGTCATATTTCTGTATTTTTATGAAATATATCAACATAGAGATAAGAAAAGCATTATCAGAAAGACATGGTAACCTTATATGTGAAACTCTGAGAACATAAACTACTCATTATCCTTTTCCTCCTCATATTGCAAGTACTCCTGTGTTTAAACTTCATTTAGGCATCCCAGGGAACTGTGAACAGTATCACAGTTACCACTAAAACAAACTTTAAAAATAACCAAATTAGAGATATCATTGATTATTTGGTCCAGACAGTAAATTCTAAAGCCATTTGTGTACTCACACATATTGTATCCTGGCATATAATGCCACATCCCTATAAGTGATTTCAAAACCCATCTGATCCTTACTATTCTACAATATAATCACGGATATTTATTATTTTGTAATGGACACTAAGACTTTCCTTCATAAGTTGAAAGCCTAGTCTTTCTTTTTCCTTCTTTAAGGGAGATACTGCTGAAATGAAGCCAGCCATCTTGATCTTTCTTCAAGTTTACATAAAATGAAGGATGAAGAACATAAGTAGCCATGTGAATCTAAAGGGTGCCAAGTCTCTGTTATGAAATATGCCCTCTGCCTAGTCAGAAATGATTCAGTACTCCCCTTCTGCTCCATTGCCTGTGAATATTCAGAGCAAGGTGAATTGTTGGCAAAGTGTCATGCTATAAATTCCACAATCAATGCACTTATCCATTACCTAAGGTCAGAATGGATACCTTACCTTCAGTGGTAGAAAGAAGCAATGATAACATTTTGGAGGCGGCTTCCTGAAATATTCCGAATGCAAGCCCTTAAAAGGATTTGAAGTATTACCTTGTGATCTCTGGAAGTAAACTGCCTGCTTAGGTAACCTAAGTTCTGTCTCACTGTGCCTTTCATAGAGAAGTAACTTGAGATTGAGACTTACTTGAATGACTATGAGATTGTCTAGGAATTTTTTTTTCATTTTGCTGTTGTTGTTTTGTTTTTTGTTTTGTTTCATTTTGAAGTGGAGTCTTGCTCTGTCACCCAGGCTGGAGTGCAGTGGAGTGCAACTTCTGCTTCCCAGGTTGAAACAGTTCTCCTGCCTCAGTCCCTTGAGCAGCTGGAATTACAGGTAAGCAACACCATGCCCATATAATTTTTGCATTTTTAGTAGATATGGGGTTTCACAGTGTTGACCAGGGTGGTCTTGAACTTCTGACTTTGTGTTCTACCTGCCTCAGCCTCCCAAAGTGCTGGGATTACTGGCACGAACCATGGTGCCCAGCCAAAACTGTAATTTTATCTAGAAATTACTTATTCTGGAATCTCCCTAATTATAAGTGAACAGGCTACCTCCAAAAAACCTATAAAATTATTTCAATTATTGAAACTCATGCTCAAAAACCTGACTAATAAGCTGTGGTTTTGTTGCTCTCATGGTCAGTCAAAATCTGAAACTTCAAAATTTCTCTTACTGGAAAGCAAACTTGTATCCCCTCTAATGAGTCTATTAGCAAGTTGGAGCTTTCAGGTGATAAAGCTTTACTATTAAAAATAATGTAGGCCAGGCATGGTGACTCATGCCTGTAATCCCATCATTTTGGGAGGCTGAGGCAGGTGGATCATTGAGGTCGGGAGTTTGAGACCAACCTGACCAACATGGGGAAACTCCATCTTTATTAAAAATACAAAAATTAGCCAGGCCTCCTTGTGCGTGCCTGTAATCTCAGCTACTGAGGAAGCTCAGGCAGGAGAATTGCTTGAACCTGGGAGGGGGTTGCCATGAGCCAAGACTTTGCCATTGCACTCCAGCCTGGGCCACAAGAGCAAAACTCCGTCTCAAAAAAAAAAAAAATATATATATATATATATATATATATAAAGTTACCAGTGCAAATTAACTCTGATATTTGTGCAAGGTACAGGAACATTATAATCTTTCTCTTATCTTTCATTATTATGTAGGCTTTATTGGACTTTCTGTTTATTGATTTCTCTTCTTAAATAATCATCCTCGAAGGGATGATTAATACTGCTTGTGCTAAATAATTGATAGCATGTAGAGTTACTGGGAAAGCTATGATAAGCTGGAGAATGTAGCAGAAAAAGGCTTAGCAGCACAGCAATAAATATAATAAGAGGCCAGTGCTGTCAGTATAGAAATATCATATGATTAATTGCTCTATTACTTTTACTTGGTCTTCAGAAAAGCAAGAGGATATTAAAAAGGAAGTAGAAAATAAAGCACTTTGTTGAATGTCGCTTCTTCTTATTCATTCATTGGGGTGGAGGGTGAGAGACAATGCTTTAGTTTCTGTTTTATCATTATTTATAGAAAGCTGAAACAATAATAGATTATATTCAAATTATATAGAAATGTATTCTTCCATAATGATAGGTTAATTATATTAATTTTACAGGAGTATTCAGAAAGAATGTCTATTTTCAATGAATTAGCTATTATTTTGAATGTGGATTATTGAGGGAAACTGGAAATGCCAAAACTGCTAGTACAGTAAACATGAACTGCATCAGAAAACAGTCCCAGCGCTCAAAGAAAATGGGGATTTGTATTTAAAATTTGCATTAATTTTTAGTTTTTGACAAATATTTTATCGAAAATTTCCTTAGGAGTGTGGGGTTATAAAGTTATACTGTAACCTTTTACACACACATACATACACACATCTTGATAGCTTGAATAGAAATAAAAATTGGTTTCACATTTTATTAAAGTATATAACTTCAAAATTACTAATTTTGCAAACTTATCCTTATGTAATTGTATAATAATTTATTAAAATTATTGGTCTTGCAGGATTTGAAGCTGAGTGTGTTGGCTAAACCTACATACCTAACCCCCATATTATAGTTTTTCCTTTGTGGATTGTTTTGAAAAAAAAATTAAAAATTTGTATTTTATATTATACAAAAGTAAAAACAAATTGGTCTTGCAAATAAAAATACAATTAAAACAAATTTTGTGTGACATCATTTCTCAAAATGTAAATTCTAAATTTCAATTTGATAATATCAAGTTTCCAAAACTCACGAGAGTGCGAGGCTGGTTATATACATGTATCATGGTGTCCAGACAGAAGGGTATACATTGAAGCCATATATAAGAGAATATATTTTACAATCTTTTATTGCCGAAAAGTGAACTTGGTACCTTGGGTCTAATAGGATGAATAGGGCAGGGGTGGAGGAGTACACACACACATCATAAACATCTTCTGTAGTCAACTTTGCTTTTTGTTTGTTTTTGGGTTTCTCACTATTTACTATCTTTTAATGTGTGCATTTTTTTAACCACCTAAACTACCCCTAATTACATAACTGCTTACAGGCTTTTGTGTGTGTGTGTGTGTGTGGGATGGAGTCTTGCAATGTCACTGAGCAGGAATGCAGTGGCGTGATCTTGGCTCACTGCAACCAACCTTTGCCTCCTGGGTTCATGTGATTCTCCTGCTTCAGCCTCCCAAGAAGCTGGGATTACAGGCGCGCAACACCATGCCCAGCTAATTTTTGGTATTTTTAGTAGAGACTGGGTTTCACCACGTTGGCCAGCTGGACTCCTGACCTCGTGATTCGCCCACCTCAGCTTCCCAAAGGACTTGGATTACAGATGTGAGCCACCGCACCCTGACTACAGGTTGATCTTTTGAGCAGAATATATTACAACAGAAAGCTGCACAGCTGATCTGTTTAGCGTAGTGTATGCCATAACGTGGCCCATTCTCTCCCATTCATCAAAAAAGTATATATTGCTGATAAGATATTGTTTCTTTCATCCAGCTTCTGCCAATTCTATGAATTTTAATCTATATGTACAAAATAAACCTTGCAAAATTGTTACCATATCCCTTTACATTTAAACGATATCACTAGATTTGAAACAGTAGCATAGTGTATGATTTACTTTTTTCTTAGCTTTAAAACCAGAAATACCATTTGACCCAGCAATCTCATTACTGGATATACACCCGAAGGATTATAAATCATTCTACTGTAAAGACACATGCACATGTATATTTACTGTGGCACTGTTCACAATAGCAAAGACTTGGAACCAACACAAATGCCCATGAATGATAAACTGGATAAAGAAAATGTGGCATATATACAGCATGGCATACTATACAGCCAAAAAAGATGAATTCATGTCTTTTGCAGGGACATGGATGAAGCTGGAAACCATCATTTTCAGCAAACTAACACAAAAACGGAAAACCAAACAGGGCATGTTCTCACTCATAAGTGAGAGTTGAACAGTGAGAACACATGGACACAGGGAGGGAAACATCTCACATTGGGGCCCATAGTGGGGTGAGGGTCTAGGGGAGGGAAAGCATTAGGAGAAGTACCTACTGTAGATTACATGTTAATGGATGCAGCAAACCCATGGCATGTGTGTACCTATGTAACAAACCTGTATGTTCTGCACATGTACGCAGAACTTAAAGTATAATTTTACAAAAAGAAAAATAGATGAAAAAAATGTATTTATGATGATATATCCTAGACACTAAGATTTGTTAAAAATACATGTAAATACATTGCTCATATTCCTAATTGAATCTTTGAGATAAATACCAGAATTATCTCTGCTAAAAGAAGTATGTAGTTCTTATTTAAAACAAATAACTAAGTTTATCCAATTTTACTTAGCTTTTCAGTATCAAGCTCATACTGGATTATTTTCAAAACTTAAACATATTAATTTACAAAAAGTGTTTTGCAAAATAACATAGGAATTTTAATTAAATTACGAATTCAGGACTTAACAGCCAAGGTCATGATAAGTGCTATGGAGAACTTATCATTAGCTACAGTTTATTATTCACAAAACAACCAGATGTTATTTTTGAATGTAAATCAGATTATTTCCTTTCTCTGCTTAGCTTTTCTTGGTAGTTGGTACAAAATGC